ATATCATTGAGGGGAAATAAGAATCCTTACTTCTAGTGCCACTTTTTTTTTTAACCAATTATCATTTTGAGTTTTTTTAAATCATTTAATTTATATTGAATTCCATGTATAGAAATCTTTTTAGTCAAAATCCTATCATACCACACAATGGCATACTGAGTTACATTCTCTGTTTATTCATATTAGCATTTCTGATATATTTCAGAAATGAAAAATTGGCTCAAAATGTCAAACTTACTTTCATATATATTTAGCAGTCAATTCATTAAACAACATATTTATACCATATAAGCTATTTCTTCCAAATGAAAGATTTTACCTCAAATGTCCAGTGTTCATAATCTTTGTAAGTTCATTTATACAAATGTAAGTAATGTTAGTTACCATTTTGTTTTGAAAAACTCCCTGTCTCCATGCAATTACCATGCTCAAACAATCACACTACACATGCCATTTCTTTTCTTCTTTTTTTTTTTTAAGATTTTTTTATTTATTTATACAAGCACTGGGTACAGTCAGAAGCACGGGAGGGTGAGAGAATTCACCAGAGCCAGAGGGGAGAGCAGAGCAAGCAGACTGACGAAGTACACGGCTGAGGGGAGCAGCGGGAGGCAGGAGAGGTCCACACACCATGTGGGACCCTCGCTGGTGGCCAGGGATTGAACCGGCCCTGCAGAGGCTACGGGCATCTTCGCAGCCCAGCGCTAAGCCACTGCGCCACCAGGGGAGACCCTACACATGCATTTCATCAATAATTTAGATAATTTACATGGAGAAGCTTCAGAAAATTCAAACAAAGCCAAAACACTTTGATTTGGAGTAAGAATGTGATTTGCCTTTCAACTATAACAGAGTCATGATCAAGAAATATGTATACAAAAACCTACTGATAACAAATGTTTCAACTAGCTGGACTTTCATTGATAAACATAGTTTAATTGTAATCTGTAAATAAGGAAAGAAATAAAATGTGCAGTGACCACGTGCTTGTTTACATTTACTTTTAAATGGATGGATATCATCAATCCAGTTATTTATTCAATATTTATGAAGCATTTATGAATTCTGCTGTTAGAAACATGTGAGCTGGGGATAAAAAGGGATTAAATGACCCTTTCCCAGGAAATATTCCCAATTTAATGGGCAGTAAACCTATGTAAATAAATACAGTGTTCTGTACAATAGGAAAGAAGCATATAATAGTCAAAAAAAGAAACAATAATTTAGACACCATAGATATTGGAATCAACTTTATGGAATAACTATGGATAAAGTAGTTATAGAAAAGCACATAATTTGTAAAAATGAGCATACCAGAAAGAATCTACCAATTTAAGAAAAACAAGACTTCAAAAAATGTAATGTCTAATTGTTGACATTTAAAACTCAATAGATTGGATGAGCAGATGCAGTAGAAAAGGAAAAGAAAAAAATAATATGTGAAAACAGCAAGTGAGGGAGAACGAGAAGGTAAAATATATGCACCATCACAGAAACAGAAGAGGATATTTGGCGGTGCCCTGACCTTAATGTACTAGATTCCAGTAGTAACCTCTTCAGTCATGAAAATCAATGACCAAATATTTCTGGGGAACAAAATCACCCCAGTTGAGAACCAGTGTCTTCAAGAACAAAAAAGAAAAACAAATTACTGACCCTTTACATTCATTATTATATTGGTAAAAATCTTTTAAAAATAATAAAACATTGGATTTAATAGCAAATAAAATTATAAAATATAATTGGGCTTTTTACCTCAAAAAGCAAAGGTGGTTGAATTTTTGTGAAACCATGCATATTTGAAAAACCATAAAATAAAATAAAGAAGTAAAAATATAATATATATGCGTATATAGTATATTTGTACACTACATGTCTGTGTAAATAACATATACATATGTGCACACGGATATATTTGCATATGGAATATATACGTGTGTGTATATATATATGTGTATATATATATAAATCCTGATAGTGTCCTGTAAAATCTTCCTCTTCTTTTTTCTCCATTTTAATCTATGCGGTTCAAGAATATACAATAATATATCTTCAGTGTTTATTAGAAACCACACATTAGTTTCATTGCTATGCCTACAAGAAAGGGATGCTAATGTAAACTGAGCTAATCAGAAACCTTCTGCACAAGTCTGTAGCTATTTGGAGAACTAATTAAAGGACAATATTAGATAATAACACCATTAAAAATGTATCAGTTCTTTTGAAGTGTGGACTCTAGATGTATTTTAATGGTATAACACATGTCTACTAAAGTGTTGATCTGTGTTCCAAAAAGTAATTCAAATGAGCATCCAGTAAATAAACATGATTGACTCATCACTGCACTCACAAGAATAGAAATGTTCATTTGCAGTAAATTTAGATTACACTCATTATCAAAATAATTTCTATATGCATATAAACAAATCTGAGATCATTGTGTGTTCTATAATAAAGCAAGTTGAGTCTCCAGTACAACCATGTTTCAAATAGTCATTTAATGAAAGTATAAAGAAAAGTTGCCAAGTAGTATGATATCAAGAGGAAGTTCTTTACTGGTGAGTGTGTCTATTCCATACTCCCATCCCCAGTTCCGCATCTCAGCAAAGAGGAAGACAACGTTAGCTCAACATCAAACTCTTGACTCTAACACATACTGACCTTACTCTTATTCATTAGTTAAATGAAACCACTGGATATCAGCTAAGTGAAACCATGGGCATCACTGTTCAAATATTTTGACATTATTATGAGCCACTGAAAGTAATGAACTTCAATCAAAATGTGAGATAAATTAGTGAAATAAATTAGTAGGTATAGAGTTTAACATGATAAATCAGTCTAATAGCTATCGTAAAAATAAAGATTATTGTCATCCTAACTATGGCTAATTATTGCATATTTTATGTATATATGTCTGTGTGTATCTATAATTATATAGATTATTGCTTATATATAAAATGCCCAGCACAATAATTACATATATTCTATATATGTAGAGAGATAGATAGATAATAAAACTAAACCAAAAATAAACAGAGAGACAACTTCGTCTTGGGGAAGTGAGGAGTCATAACAGACAATATTCTCATCATGCAGACAATGTTGTCATCAGTGGTAACCGTGCCATTTGGACACCATAAAGTTCTAGATTCTTCCTGTTCTCTGATGCATCTGGGCTTTTCTGAGACAGGTTTCACCCAGTCAGGGTCCTCTGAGTAGAATAGTATATACATTTATAAAGGCAAGACTGAAATTCACCAATTCTTTTTCATTTAAGTGAGATGCTCTTTTTAATTGTAAGACTGTTTAGCAATGATATTCTCAATATTGAGTCAACATCAGAGAACAGAAAAGTCTAGAACTTTACAGTGTTATGACATTGGCTACCAAAAGAGGCAAAAAACAAAAATAGATAATCAAAATGATCCCACTTGGCAATTCAGATCTTGGAGTTTTACAATCATTATGATGAATGTTTCAGCAAATAGAAAAATAAATATATATATTTTAATCTATGACAAAGGATCCTTAAAAAGCAATCAAATAAAAAGAAAATATTGAGGTTCAAAAAAAAAAAAAGCCCAGATGCAGTTGCTTTTATATATATTTTTGACAGCTTACCTAGACTCACTCCTGTTGCTGCCTGCCAGAACTTTACAGTACAGAACCGAATCTGACCCCTTCCTGAGAACCTGAGAAATTTTCAAACTTGTCTGCAAATTGTCTTGTCTTGGCCATCCCAGTCAAACCCACAGCTCCAGTCCCAGTTACCTTTAGCTAGCTATTGCTTGTCTGGTTTTCTCCTATCAACTTATTCATATCTGCCCATCAGTAAAAGACATTGTTGGGGAAAAATGATTGTGAATGTGTCAGGTTAATGGAAAAACATAGAGATAAGACCATGTATATCTTTTAAAAAAATGTCTCAATACATAAAATGCTCAAGCATTTTATTAATATGACTAGACAGAAAAAAAGGCATGGTACATGTGATCCCTTTAGTTTCAGTATCTTCTTTTTTACAGAAGATAAGGAAGCAGTCTCTGGCCCCCATTACATTCTAATCTAGGCAACAACTGATTTCATAAATGAGAATACAGTACCTATTATTTGAACACCTACTATATGCCACCCACTATGCTAACTGCTTTATAAGTTTTATCTTATTAAATTTCCATAGCAAGTTTTATGGTTTTAGAAATTGCCATTATCCTAAATTTTACAGATGAGGAAAGAGTCTTAAAAAGATTAAATGACATGCCCAAGGTTACATACATTGTAAGTGACAGAGTTTAGACTCAAATCCAGGTCTATTTGAATACAATGCACTTAACTTTGTGTATAATGCCTTAAAACACCATTACATAGGATTTCAGTTTATGTTTCAATCTTTAGCTTTAATCAGTGATCTCCTTAAAGGCAGAATTCTTTTATCAGCATTTTTTTATATCCTCAGAGCATGGAAAAATGCCTGATATAGAGTAGAAATTCAATGATTGTCAAATGAACAAAATGATGAATTAATATATCAAAGGAAGATGGGAGGAATTATACTTAAAAAGAGCCAGAAAAAACTGAAGTTTGTGTAAAAAGATAATTCTACTCCAAGAATAATACTCCTTCAGTTAGTGTTGTGTGGCCCTTTATTTCTATTGTCGCAACATATGAGTATTTTATGATAAGCACCATTTTTACTTTAGAATTAAATAAAATGCTTTCAAAATATGTACCTTGCTCGGGGATTTAAACGAACAATTGAAATTCCATAATCAGAACATGACACAACCAAACCAGCGTATAATCATATGTTTCCTATAATAAGCTACTTGAAGTGTTCTTAGGGCTACAATTTTGTAATCGAGACATGAGAGGAAGATCTGTGCTCTTAACAACATTCAACACAGGCACTTCAGCTGGCTCTGGATAAAAGACAAGCCCCTCTTTTGCTTGACATAGATGTTGTCTTTTTCCTTATCAGTAAGCGACAGTCCTATTACCTTCACATCCTCTGCCATCTTCCTCCAGCTTCTGGCCTGCTTGACATTTGCAGTAGTAACTGCCAATTGTATTACAGCATTGATCTTGACAGCCACCATTGGCAATGGAACATTCATTTATATCTGCAATTGAATATTTAAAGAGCATTAGCCTCCTATATCTAGACACACCAGAAAGACTACAGAAGTTCTCTTAACAATGTGCCATCCCAGAGTGACATTCTTTGACTACAGATCAAATAAGATAAAACCATTATATCTTATTTTAATTAAGACTAATGCACTCTATTTTGATATAAAAGAAAAGGCAGACCATAACCTTTCACGTATGATATAGCTTTGAACACAATACTAAGGAGTTGTCCGGTCTTATGAAATTTGGAGGCTTATAATACAGAACCAGAAATTTCACATCCAAATGTTATTTGAGGATGAGATTAAAACAGCAAGAAATTATCAAGTCAGAACAGTAGGTCACTTCTTCATTAAATTTGTTGTTATTGGCTTTTCAAACAGATAATTGTTAAACCTCCACCACAACTTATTTGGCATTGTGCCAGACAGTGTGGTTTACAGAGGTTAATATCCAGCTGGGGTTCAGGGCTAAAAATATAGTGTGATTCGGCTGTATACATTTACTGGCTAGGTCCACAGCCCATTCCTAAATCTGTGGTCAGAACTATCATCTCAATGTTAAATATTCCTTCCACCCAACTTAAAGGTGACGGATATTTGATAGTGACTCATTCTGCTCAAAAAAAGGCCCTTCTACTTTATGTTACTTATCTGACTCAATATATCTTGGCCTGATGAGATGAATGTGGTTGTAAAGGAGAGGGTAGGAATGGCAGAAAGGAAGTGAGGGAAGGGTATGCATGGAAAAGAAGAGAGAGACTGACTGAGAATGTGTTAGTCAGGGAGAGTAGAAGAAACTAAGAAAGGAGAAACACACACAAAGGGGACTCAAATCACCTAAACTGTGGAACCGCAGAGAGAGAAATCCTGAAGGAATGGAGTCCTAACAGGAGCATGGCCTACAATGCATCTTGACTAGATGTGGCTGCTTTTCTCTGAGGCCTGACTGTGCAGCTGTTGAAACTGGTTTGTTTATTTTTAGTTAGCTTTTTATTTAAATGAGTTATACACATAGAAATATATACAAATCTTAAGTACACAGTCTGATGAGTTTTCACAAATAGAGATACCAAAGCAACCACAATAAATAGAACATTACTAACATCCAAGAAGCACACCCCTTGGTAAAAGAAACAACTATCCTGACCTTTGATCACTATAGGTTAGTTCTGTTATTTTGTGCTATATATAAGTATGCCATATTATCTACGTTTTTGTGTCATGTTTCTGACCATCAGCACACTGTTTGTTAGATGCATACATGCCGTTGCATACTTTGGTAGTTTGTTCATTTTATTTTATTACTCAATTTTATGACTATATCTATTTAAAGAATTTGCATATGAAGTTTACCGGTTAATATATCTAGAACTAGAATGACTGGTTGAAAAGGTATGCTGTGTTCTCTTTTAGTAGTATTGATAAATAGTCTCCTGTCTTCTTTCAATGTTGTGTATAAAAAAAATGCTACTCATCTTGCCAACATCTGTGATATTCCGTTTTTTTTTTTTTTCCATTTCAGTTGTTCTAGGAAGTATGTAAAGTATCACTTTAATATGCACTTTTCCTAATGATTAATTAAACTAAGCACACTTTAATGTTATTGATCATTTGGATAACATCTTCTTGAAGTGCTTGTCAGACTATTTTGCCCATTTGTCCAATTTAAAATAGTGGTTTAGTTAATATTCTGTTAAACATTTTTTGACTATGGTCATGAGACAGATTCATCTGCACTATTTCATTCCTATAAAATTCTTGCTAGGTTTTGGTGTCCAGGTCATGCTGGATGCATAAAACAAGTGGGGAATTTTTTATTCTTTCCAGTCTCTGAAAGTAAATATCAGTGTGAGATTATTATTTCTTATCTACGTGTTTGAAAGAGGTCATTATTTTTTTAAAGATGTATTTATTTTTGTGTACAAGAACTGAGGTGTAGGAAAGAGCTGGGGGGATAGAGGATTCACCAAATAAAGAGTGGGGAGCAGAAAAAGCAGATCTACTGAAGTGCAATGCTAAGGGGAACAGCTGCATAGACAGGAAAGGTCTGCTGCACCCTAGGTGGGTTAGATCCCTGGACAGGGATCAAACTCAGGCAACAGCGGTGATGTGAGACATAATCCCAAGGCCACCAAGCAGTTCCTGAAAGAGTTTGTTTATGATGTCATTGTGTGTGTGTGTGTGTGTTTGAAAGAGAGCCACAGACAGGGAGAGAGATTAATTAATTATGAATTTAATTTATTTGTATGACATATTCAGATTTTCATTCAGACATCTATTCTGATCTTTAACCACAATAGGCTAATTTTGTCAGATAAATTATGTTTTTATATTATATGCTGGGGAAATGATATACATTTCAAAGGATATGTTCCTTTCATATAAGTGATACTTACATTATGTTAAGCTCGTCATAATATTCTAGCACTATATTTTTAATATTTTATCCAACTTATAGTGAGGTGCCATTCCCTATTACTTAAGAAATTAAAATATACTGTATTTTTTCTTTAAATCACATTTGAAGATCTAGTATCTATGAATCTATTGAGTTAATTCAAAACAATTTTGTTTCGAAACAATAAAAACCTTGGGCCTCCCTGGTGGTACAGGGGTTAAAGTCTCAGCAGTATCAAGCAATCACACATTAGTTTAAGCCCCAGCCAGGGAGCTAACCCACATGGCGCAGCAAACCTTTCCTGTCTCACCCACTGCTCCCCTCAGCAGTGTATTTCAGCACATCTGCCTGTTCTGCTTCCCACTCTGTCTCTAGTGACTCCTGTCATCCCCAACATCTATGGCCTACACCTCAGTTCTTGCATGCATAAATAAATAAAAATAAATCTTAAAATATAACTGTATCAAACATTCTGTATAATTTGAGACCTTTATGGGCCTCCCCGGTGGCACAGCGGTTGAGCGCTGGGTTGCGAAGCTGCCCGCGGCCTCTGCGGCGCCGGTTCGATCCCCGGCTGCTCCACGGCCACCGGAGGAGGGTCCCACATGGCGCGCAGACCTCTCCTGCCGCCCGCTGCTCCCCTCAGCAGTGTACTTCAGTCCTTCTGCCTGCTCTGCTCCCTGCTCTGGCTCTGGTGAATTCTCTCACCCTCCCGCGCTTCTGACTGTACCCAGTGCTTGTATAAACAAAACAAACAAACAAACAAATAAATAAAAAAAAAAAACAAAAAAAAAAACAAAAAAAAAAAAATTTGAGACCTTTAATTTAATAAGACACTTTAGTCCATTATTAACAATACAACATTTAACAAAGAAAACTGATGAGTAATAATATGAGTAATACATGAATTATATGAGTAACTCATTTCCAATACTTCTTGGCTAATAAACAAAGATACTTTGAAACATGATGCTTAAGAAAATACTACCTGCATCCCTAGGTATTTACCCAAAGGACACAGAAACATTAATTCCAAAGAGCACCTGCACCCCTATGTTTATAGCAGCACTATTTACAATAGCTAGGGAGCTATGGAAACAACCCAAATGCCCAGAAGCAGATGACTGGATCAAGAAGATGTGGTACATATACACAATGGATTATTACTCAGCAATCAAAAAAGATAAATTCATGCCATTTCTAAACTCATGCCATTTGCAACAACATGGATGGAGCTGGAAGGGATCATGCTCAGCGAAATAAGTCAGAAAGAAAAGGAAAAATACCGGATGGTCTCACTCATAGCAGGAATTTAGAAAACCTAAATAAGGGACCAGGAAAAAGTATAACTATAAGAAAGAAAAAATCAAAATCAATAAACAACTATAAACCAGAGATACACTGGGGGGGTGGGGAAAGGAGGGAATGGGTTCAAAATAAGGGGGGTAGAATTGTATGGGGAATATAAAAATAAAAAAAGAAAGTACTCCCTTCCTGATGGATTAATTGTGAAATATTTGAATACAATTCAAGTATAACATAGAGTTTAATAAGCTAAAATAACATCAAATATACACCATTAAACCGAACCTCAGTTGTCAAATTTAAGACATTTTTGGGAAACATATCTATTTTACATTTGTTTTTTTTTTACTGTAATTTTCATTTTATATATTTGGAAGCTCTATTACGAATGACACACTAATTTAGAATTGCCACACCTTCATAACAGATGAACTCTTTGTTACTATATATTTCTCTTGGGATGTAGCTACACTTCTTTTATTAAACTTAAGGTATCTTGATATTAGTATAGCTATATCAATTTTCTTTTGATTTGAGTTTGCAAGATATTTCATTTTTTTTAAGATTTATTTATTTATTTATACAAGAACTGGGGTACAGGCCAGATGCACGGTGGGGTGAGAGGATTCACCAGAGACAGAGTGGGCAACAGAACAGGCAAACTGACGAAACACACTGCTGAGGGGAGCAGCGGGCGAGACAGGAGAAGTCTGTTGTGCCATGTGGGACCCTCGCAGGCCGGCAGGGATCCAACTGGCATTGCAGAGACTGCGGACAGCTTCATAGCGCTGTGCTCAACCACCTGTGCCACCAGGGGAGGCCCTATTTCAATATTTTTAATCTTCAGTTTTAAACTCTTTTGTATTCATATATTTGAGAAAATATATCCATGAAACTATATCTATGTGTGATACTTTATATATTCTAACATCTATAAACTGTGGTATTACATCATTAAGTTTGATGTAATTATTGACATATCTGTATAAAATTCACTATTTTACTATTTTTCTATATTTCTATATAATTAATGTCAAATTTAGTTTTGACTATAATATGACCTTTTTCTCTGTCTACTTTTAAGGTTTTCTCTTGCCTTCATTTCATTTATTCCACTACGACAGGCTTTGATTTTTTTTAAATTAGATTTCAATCTTAGATTTGTAGTACATCACAATTGTGTCATTTGATGTCTTTCAGTTTCAGAAAAATGATTCCTACTGTTATATGTTCAAATATTTTTTTTTTGTCCCTCTCTACTTTCTAGTTATCGATAAAACATGTT